AAGTCTTAAAATCAATGGTATGAGATACCTATTCTTGATAGTGATTTTATTGAATCATTGATAGTCAACACATATCTACAAAAATCTATCTTTTTTTAAAAAAATAAGATAGAAGCTCTTGTAAGAGATTTAGAATGGTGAATGAAGTTCTTAGCAAATTTCTTGTTAATATATTCCTTGAATCTAGCCAACTCATTTTGTGATAGGCTATAAATTGATCTGCATGGTAATTGAGCTCATTCTTAAAGATCAATAGAATAGTCATAGAAATATTATTTTAAAATAATATTGAATTTTTTTTTCAAAAAGTGTCTTAATAATCTTAATATTGGCTTAAAATACCACTTAAAATCATTTTTCCATCAAAAATAGAGAAAGCTTATATAGCAAAAATTGACCCTTCTTTTATAGCATGCATGAAAGTTCTTGCACCTACTAATAAAAGGTTTGGTTGTATTAGACTTATGGATTTTTACTTGAATAATAAAATCTTATGTTAAATTATAAAAAAAATCAAAGTCATAAAAAATCTAATCTATTTAAAGATTATACTTTTTTAATTACAATAATCTTAAAATAATTAACTTAAAGAGAAAGATCTAATGACATTAAATATTACTAAGCTATTATGATCTTTAGTTGTTACATCTAAAGGAATTATTTAATAGATAACATCTTCAAAAGATAAAAAATAACCATCTATGACTTCTATGTATAGAAGTATGATTATCTTCACTAAAGATATTTCTTATTTTTTGAAAAAAATCTTATTTATAAAAAAGTTAAGGCTCCTAAATCTAACAAGGTAATATTTTTTTAATTTTTGGATCTAAAAAAAACTTCTATTGTAAAACAAGATAAAGGATTTTATGACAAAAAAAGACCTTTATTACGTATTACATAAGTTTTCAACCACATCATCCCTTTTGTAGTTAAAAAAACTTATTTTTTGATAAATCTTCTTCTTTGATAACTGTATTCTTTATTTTGTGGTTGTGTTGTTTTTTTGAATAATATTGAGTAGTGTACTTAGGTTCTCCATAATATAAGCATAAACCTTCTTAATGGCATCACGTTTGTTTTACTCAATAAGAAGCTTGAAATGCATTGCATCAATTTGCTTAACTTTTGGTCTTCATAAATAAGCTTTTGTAAACTTAGAGGTTGTTTTCATGGCTTGATTTATACGTCTCCAACCAAATATTTATTTATAGCATCTTTAAAAGAGTCAATTATTGCATGTAATAGCTTGAGCAATAAATTATTTTAATGAGCTTACTCTTTGTATTTTCAATAATAAATCTTTGACATTATCTATTAATCCATATCAAAATTGGTTGATAAAGGCTTTTTCATTCTAATTTATATCAAAAGTAAGATTTTAGAATTTTGTAGCATATATAATAGCTAAATATGATTTTTATTGTAAAAATATAAGTTTGGTCTTTGCTACTTTTTTTCAATCACTTTTTCTAAAAGTCTTTGTAAATACTTCTAAAAATAAATTTAAATCATAAAAAAGACTCAAATCTTTTTGTATCAAGGGTATAAACTAAAAGACAACGCTTTCAAAGAAAAGTACACCTATGAGTCCAACTTGAATAAATCCAATAAGATATTGAGAAAGATGCAATCTTAGATAGAGCTTTATTTATTATAAAAATCCTAGAAATTTTGATCTTTTTTATTGAAATTTTTTAGCATAATTATTTTTTTCTCTTATATTAGGAATACTAAAAAAAATTGGATTTAATTGTGAGTTTTATTTACTTGCTTCACTCAATTATTTAATTTCTCGAAATAGATTTTGAACTTCATTATTGATCTCTTCCATAGGCATTAGAATACTACTTCTATGTTTGATATTAGTAATATGTATGATTTTCACCCTCAAAATATTCACAAGCTTGTAAAGACCTATAGTAGTTGCAAATTTATTCTTACTTCTATCAAGAGTAGCATCTATTATTTTTACTTCTGTAAAAAATTCAAAAAAATGTAAAGTCAAATTAGGAGAGAATTATCTGCAACATCTAATATAAAATGAAATTTTTCTCAAAGAGAGATAGTCTACTTTCTTTTTTTTAAAAAAATAATATTAAAAAACTAAAAATAAATTTAAAGATAGATAGTTGATAACTTTTAAAATACAACAATAGAAGTTATATAATCTACTCACTTCTAATATAAAACAAGAACAATAAGTTAGCACTCTTATGAAATTATCAAGGACATGAACTTCAAAGAAAAAAATCTCAATACATTCTTATATCATTCAAAAAGTCTAAAAAATTAGTCAAAGATGGTAATATATTGAACTAAAATGGCTATTGCCAAAGACAAGAAGACTAAAAAGTCTTGAAATAAGACTAAGGACTAAAAAGGCATTGATAGGAGTAAAGAAGGCTTCACTCTTGCCTCCATATATACTATCCAACTATGAGCTATATGGCAATATCTTACAGGACCTCCAACACATATCTAATTTATAAGTCATATATCTTAACTACTATTGTTATATTTTGTAAGACAACTTTCTTACATGTACACTACATTGTTAGTTTGTATCACAAGCTACTCACACATGTGACACATAGCTAATTTGTTTGCCAAGTTTCTAATCTAATAATCAACTATAAACATGTATTATGTCAAATATGCATCTATGATACTTCTAAGTGATAATTCCAAGTGACACCTCCATTGATCTTAAAATATGTTTCTTTATTGTTGATTGCCTTCAAATCATAGAGAATCTCATGACAAGTGTGGCCTTTCTATACACCAATGTAATGGACTTTTAAATTGAGCAGATATCTACTCTAGGTCTGACCTATTTTTTTTTATAAATACGTTTATATAATACATACATAACCTAAGCTTAATCCATATTTGAGCATGTAAGCATGCTTTTTGATAATTTTACAAGTTTCTTTGGTTTTTATTTAAAATACTACTGCACTTATTCTATATTGTGCTTATTATATGACTTTAATAATGTTGATTGAATCAACGAAATTGGTGAGAGATGCTCAACCTTAGATTAATATTTTATTTTATCTTAGGCTGTAATCAATTGGGATTTTTTTTACCAATGGTCTACAACCCCCTTAAGTATTGAGATTAAATACATCAAGATGGCTACTGTAATTTTTAAGGTAGTATGCCTATAATATTTGTTCTTTGATTTATACTAGACCAAACTCTAACACAACCAATGTTCATATATAGTAACAACCAATCTATTCTTACTCTTATTGATAACACCAAATTTTACTTGCAAACTAAGTACATTATAATTTATTACTATTTTATCTACAACTGGCAACTTTGCAAAAGGTTCAATTCCATTGCTACTCTACTATTGAAATATATGTAGATCTCTTCACCAAACCAATTTTAGGACCAAAGCTTGTTCAACATCTTTTGATGCTTGACTTGCTTAAAGGAGAAATGCCACCTTCACCACATTTTGATTAAAAAGGCATATTAAAGGGATTCAAACTTAATGTCTTTGAATAAACAAATATCACAAGTTTTTGGTTTTTGGGAATCCAAATATATCACATATCACTTGAAATATCACCTCTTCAAATATTATTGTTCAAACTTTATCGTCTCCTTCAAGTTTTTGAAATATCATTTGATATTTTGGTGATTTGGAAAAGTCAAGTCAATTAAAATAGAAGAAAAATAGTTAAGGCAAGCAAGGAAGTTTTTGATATTTCACTAGCCCCTCTTTTGATATTTGGATTTGAAAATCACCCACCTTGCAAAGTAGGTGATTTTGAAGTATCAAGTGATATTTTGAAATATCATGTGATACTTTGAGATATCATCATGGATGAAATATCACACAAAAAATTTAAGTCTGAATCCCCTTATTGACAAGGTCACACCTTGACAAGGAGTTGCAACCCTTCTAGTCACACCTCCCTCAGCAACTTGAACTCTGTATTCACACCATTGTTTATTATGAATTACAAACAAAGTTACACAATGCTTTTACTACTGTTCACATGTAGTTCTAATACAGCATGTAATGTTCATTCTTGTACTCCTCTGGACCTTGTTCTTAACTAGCTTGTGTCAGCAAAAGGTCTTTAGTACTTTATGAATTTCCCCACTGGTGGCGGGTAACTCATTGGTCGTGTTGCATATGACTTGTTTAAATAGATAATATTGAATCAATGACAATCTTAAAGATGCCGTTGTAGCCCCTGAAAGAAATAATCCGAGCGACGAGGCAATGCTGACGAAGATGGGAGGAAAAAAACATTAAACCACAACTGCAACTTGAGCTTGAAGGGAGGAATAATTGGTGGGTCCCTTAAGCATACAGAACAGGAAACAGTATCCGCGTTCACATCTTCTAAGTGTGGACACCCCATCGAAATACTTCCTTCTGTGCATCGAATGTGCTTTCTCATCTGTGGTCTGAAGACTGGTTCTACCTCGTTAAGAAGGGAACGTGTGAACAGATGTGTATAATGATGTGGATGGAAAGTGCCAAAGAAGGAAAACGAAATGAAAAGAAAATGTTTCATAACGGATAGGATCAAAATAATTCAGGAGATTGGAGATTTTGGTAAGATTTGCACACGAGTTTTCAACAGTTCCTTGTTTGCTACATTCTTAGCCGAATGTGTCCTGGCCGTGGCAAGTACATTCAAATTTTCTGCTGCACTTTCTCCAAATTTGTTTGATACGAGACTCCCGATGTGAACGTGTTCAGAGAGGATGCTCGACAAGTCAATAGTCAGGTGAGGAAGATGTACTTAGCCGCAACATATGGCGATACCGGTCTACATTCTTCACTATTGTATGCTGACGAATTTTGTGACACCCCTGTGCTGGAAAGAGGCGTAAATTCCTTCCGCATCAAGTCCAATAAGATTGGCAATGGCAGGCTGAGCATGTTGCAGCTGCGATCGAAGGTCACCCTTTTTTGCGTTGTCAAAAAAATATAATACAGTGAATAAATATTTGCAATCGAGATAGAATCTTTAAATCAGCAGGAGCCAGTCACATTATTGGTGTAACATTGTGTTGAAATAACGTACAGTGCACTGTGACGGTATGGAATGGAAGATAACTAATTCAAACTCTGATAATCTTAATGCATTCAGAGGATGAATTCTGATATAAAGCACTCAGATGTCGAAAGTCCTAACTAAGTAATTCAAAGTGAAATGATACAATGCATAGATTACTCCGACTCATCTTTGCCGTGTTGTGTGCTACAAGCAGCGCAGGGAGTGAAGTTCCTCGGAACTTCAGACAAGGTTCTTTTGTATGACAATACTAATAAGCTCTTCTCTAATCTAATAACCACGAGATCATTGAGAGTATTGATCTCATTATCGAAACAAGCCACGGTCAAAAATGAGCATCTAAAGCCACAGTTTGACTGAGAATTCAGTTGCCATCGAACTAGGAGATTGCATTCGATTCAATTGTTCCACAGAGAGAAGCCACCGTCAAGGGGGTTGTCGTCATTATCACTATCATCCCTAGTGTCGTTATAATAAGGCGGAGGTATCAGCAGAGCATTATACAGATCCCGTTCAACATCAAATTGATCCTCAGCGAATTCTGTATCATTCCAGGACACATACTGCGATGACGACGTTCCATGTGATCCGGGAGGATAAGTGATGTCTTTCACTTCATTATCGCTGCTGTCGGAGGATCTGGTGGGCGACATGAACTCACTGAACGAAAACCGCCTACCAACAGACGCAGCCGCCGCCCCTGCAGCAGCTGCTTGAACCTCCCGGGTGCTGTAATGGCCTGGAGAGCCAGAAGGGAGCGCCGGTCTCTGATTGGGGAAGTTCAGATTGGCTATAGGGCCTCGCAAACACAGCAGTGCTGCATCATAAGCATGCGCAGCCTCCTCTGCAGATCGGTAGGAGCCCAGCCAGATACGTTTCTTGGTCTGAGGCTCTCTGATTTCCGAAACCCACTTGCCCCATCTCCTAACCCGCACACCCCGGTACTGGTGCTGAGAAGAACTCATCCCTCTGTAACTATCTGAGTAATAATGTACCTACCCCCTGGGACTTCTGAGGACGCGGCTTCCCGTCAGGCACGTTAGTAGCTTTTATTAAATCAATGATACTCGTGAGCTTAAGCCAATCACATCATCAGTCACACTTTGAGAGAATATATAGGCAGGTGCGAATTGCGGAATTGTAAACGATTGTCTAAAACTACTCCTTCGTTCGAAAAAAAACGTTTAAAGGGGGCAACATTAAGGTTGATTAGTTGACCAAACAATCCAAATTGCGAAAGCGAGCCCTACGACTCAGAGCGAACTGCGCACTGCTGACGATTCAAGCCTGATCAATCCTAGTTTGGTCCGTCATGCTACCTCCAAAGGCTGCATGATTGATTCAGCCAGCTCAATTCCAACACTTCAAATTTATGGAAGGCGCAAATGAGATTGCCTACGAAAAAGGGCTCCGATTGCAAAGAGAGAAACAATTCAAGATGAGCTGACATGCTAGGAAAAAATAGCTCTGGTGGAATGACCTGATGATTTGGAACTTCAAACATCCTCTAAGAGCTTATATACTCGATTTTCTCGGAAAAGACCCGTTTGACTTCTTTCCAATCCATCTATATTTCAATTTATTTCAATCGATCACCGAACACGAATAAGACTTCCGAGAAATTTCAAACAAGTAGCAGATCCACAAATATCACAGACACGGGCCACATCCTTTCCCGTTCGGTGGGGGGCGGCAGTGCAGCTGTTAGAATTAAAACAAAAAAAATTCCAACAACTCACATGAGTCTTGCTCATAGGTAACGAGTTGATGTAGATGTATCCTCCTCGCGGTGTCTGCAGGTTGATCAACACCGGAGAGGCATTACACCGTCGAAGAGCCTTGACCCTCAAGCCTCTGAGTCCATTGAGAGGGCTTAATATTATACTCTTTCTCATTCGCTGATTCCGACACACACTATTTCCTCGACCACTGTGCAACTGAGTTTGTGGGGCTCCAGGTGGTGGCTGAATTCTTTGACCTGCACCGATGGCTCACCTCCACCATATACAACTCAAAAAAACTAACCTTCTTCCTCCATACCAATCTCTTAAACACTACTAATTTTAACTAAGATGCATCGGAAAGATAAAGTAGCTTCTTCAATCTCCAGAATCTGAATGATTCCTCGAAGACATCAATCCTGATTTCTAAGATTTTTATTAAAATTTTTACCTCATCCTTTTGTTTTTCATCGTGAAAAATCCATCTAGTCAATACATTTCCAGTCAATCATCCGACCAAAAAGAGCCGCATTCTCTTCCCAAAATGTAGAACTTCGATGATTATAGTTAATTCTGTTAGGCACCGAACTCAGAAAGAGGGAAAAGATAAACAAAAACGAAATAATGAAATCGAAATATAAAAACGAAAAAATAAAATCTGACTTTTGTTTTTCTTGCTATGGCAACAGTTGCTCAGTTACCGATACAGGCCGCCACTCCGCTGTGGAGCTGCCAAATGGCACACTGAAGTGAAAAGAGGCACCGAGAGACTGGCACACAGAAATTCTTAAAATAACCGGGAATTTCGTTGAGATTCCCCGGATTCCCACGTTTTCACGTCCACCTGGCATTCCAGCTTGGAACCGGTGTCCAGCAGAGCACTGGCTGGCTGATGTGGCGAGGAGGTGTTGCACCGCTGGCGTCCTGCACAAGGTGACCGTCAGCTCACTCTCCTCCACCCTCTCTCTCTCTCTCTGGCTTCTTCTCCAAGCTCCTCAACTTGGATTTAGCTCTTCACTTTGGCTTTACATTAACATGCATATATCACTTACTTTACTTTTCTTTTTGGCATGCATGGAGTCACTCCACAATTTATATTGATATTATTATTATACAATATATGATCCTATTGTCTTGCACTGAATTTCACAAGTAAACTATAGAGTACTATGATGTACTACATTTGTTTACCTTGCTAAGAATTTGGATCAAGTGTGCTATGGATAGTAGTGCCACTTAGAGTAACTCTATTGCTGTATTTGATTACATTATCATCCCTTTGATCTAGTATATTTCTTGCCATCCATGTTCTACTCTTTTTAATTAGAACATTGGCATTGAAGTGTAGTTGTTTCTTCATTCTTATTTTATTTGTTTTTCAAAAAATATTTCCGTATTCATTTGTGTTGTTTTTCTAATTTGAATCATATTCCTACTTCTTCTCTAAAAGCTTTTGCATTTTGTTGGGTTCAAATGTGCTACACATATAACACCTTCAGAAGAGATCAAATGAGGATAAACCATTTGGATTGGACTAAAAAGAAAGTTGCTTAAATAGCTTGAGATTACCTTCGAAAGCCTAAAGTTGATGTTTTTATTTAACTTGTTGAGTGCTTCTTCATTCAAATGTAACACTTGTGATTAAAGACCTATTTGATACTGAGCTCTGATTATGTAATGATACATTTAAAATTGGGATTAAATTAGACTCATTGAACTGGACAAACACCTTTGGTCGTATGTCTTCTATTGTGTCATCTAGACTGATCTATTTATCCTCTATAGGTACTAAAAGGTCCTTTGTTGAAAATATTAGTCCATGCACGAAGTAAAGTAATAATAAGGCGTTCCCAAAATTCCTTGTCGACCTCAAAAAGTGATTATCTTGTCAGAAATATTACAAATTTATTGAATATCATTCATGTGCAATCGAATTGTTCTATCAGAATTAATAGAAGTTCTAATGAAAGGATGTTTTGGATCCTACCATAAAGAATTATGCCATAGAAAATAAAATTTCTTTAGAGGATGAATATAGTAATATTAAACCATAGTAAGTTAAGTTTTTTCTAATTATAATCCTATTTTTAGATCAATATATATATATATATAAATGAAATCAAGAAAAAATCTTGCTACTATTTTTTTTTTCTTGATGTGGAACAAACCTTATCATTTTATATTTGAAGAAATGTTTTATCTCAACTTCACTATGTTGTAAAGCATTGATAATTAATTTAACTATAAGTATTACTAAAGCTTCTTTTAGATTAACCATGTACAAACTTCCATCTTTTGATAGCTTACATCAATTTTTATATTCTATCTTCAAAGGTATTTAGGATTAAATCTTTCTTTAGAAATAATTTTGTCTAAAAGATCTTATTTTTCAAAGAGCTTTCATAAAACCTACCTTCATTGCTTAAAAATAATAAAAAAAATATTATTTAATATATTTATAATTTTAGCTATCTTTAACTTAATTACATATCAATAATTTAGTTTTATTTTTATATTAAAAAAATAATTTAAATATCTAATAATAAACTAAAAAATACCTAATAATTTTTATATCTTTTTATTTTTATCCATTCTCACCTAAAAACATTAGTCTATTATGATTTTGGATTATTAAATTATTACTAATATATAATTAATTTTTTTATTTGATATTAAAACTTCAAAAAATCCGATTTTTTTTAAATTATTTATTTATTTATTTATTTATTTGTTTCTATTTTTGTTTATAAGAAGTATTAAAAATTAAAATGCAATTATAAATAAACAAGAGAGTTGTATATCAAAGAGAGATAAAAAGAAGAAAATGAAAAAGTATAAATATTTTAGACAAATTTAAAATGTCTATAACCAAAGACAATAGATTATTGAAAGTAGACAAGAGATTATTGAAAGTAGAATAGAAGCAAAGAAGGAATTGATAAGAGTAAGGAAGACCTCACTCTTGTCTCTATATGTACACTATTTACTAAAGAATTGCATGTCAAAGTCCTAAAGGCCACATAGTATGTGTTCAACTTGCAAGACATAAGTCTTACTTGTAAGATACTTTTCTAATGTTTGCGCTCCATGGGCAACTTGTGATATAAGTTGCCCACATGTGCAACATGCAGCTAACTTATTGTCTAAGTTTCTAACCTATTAATTACCTACAAATCTATAAAAAGTCAAATCTGCATTTGCAAAGATTTTAAGAAGTTTTTTTAATAAGTTATTAATAATTTAACTTACTTTTACTTAAATCTATAATTTAACTAAGTAAATTTACTAATAATTAAAAAAAATTATGAAAATAGGATGGTATTCATGATATATCAACATATTATTTGTCATATTTTTTTAATATTAATTTAATGATTTTGATTAGTACTTTAATTATTATTAATTTAAAATTCAAATCTGATATTTCTTCTACAATAAGAAAAAAATTAAGGCACCAATGGACAACTTTGATATATCCATGTTTATTCAAAGAAGCACTTAGATTGAAATCCATTAACTATAATATTTGCATTTACATCTGGAAAGTCCATTTTAACCATAGAGGTGAATACAGGATAGAAACTAAGCTTCTTTGTGACTAAAAATAAGAAAGACCACAAGATCTTATCATGTGCTTTAGACAAATTCAACTTAAATAAAATAAAAAATAAAAAATAAAACAAAAAATAAAAAAACTTGAAGCACATTTAGACTTCTATGGTGACTTTTGTTTCTAACTCCCATAGACAAAAAAAATTGTGCACTTATTTTCCACTTTCCTATAACTTATTTTAGTTCTAGTTTTTTTGGCCTTTTAATTGCTGTTCATATAGTTTTGTAATTGTGCCTTTTCTTGTCTAAGTTATTTTTGGTAATTTTCCACCAAAATATTTTTAAAAATAATGTTTTTACTTTAATTAATTGTGCTTTAACATTATATTTACTTTTAATCTTTTTTAAATAGGACCGACATTTCTATAGATTGTCCAGAGATAGCTGCTAAAGGAGGTACCACATGGTAATATGGCTAAGAGATTATATTATAGAGCATATTCTTATGGTAACAAAGAAGTGGCATTTTGAGATTCACTTTGAGCATCTATTACATATTTTAAAAAAGCTGTCCATGTGGCTTTGCCTTGAATTACTTTTCTTATATTTGGCCTATTTTTATATAATACTGATATATATATATATATAGTTTGGAGGTAAGTTTGGTTTAAAATTGTATCTAAAGCTAGATCTTTAAATCTGGTTTGTACTAAGCTATCTAAGTAATTTCTGTTCTTCTTTGGATAATTTTCTCTACAATCACATCCATGAGTCATTAACTAAAAACATTCTTCCATAACAATTGGATCTCTTATATTGACTAGTTATTATGCTCTAGTTGTGCCTTGTCCATTTTGTTGTGGTCCCTTCTTTTTATTACTTTTTTCATACATCTAATATTCTAGTTTTTTAAATTAAATAAGGCTTGAAACTATTTCTTACAACATTCTTGGACTCTATAACCTATTATAAAACAATATTTAAATATTCTGTGGAATGTTCTGAGAACAAGTTCAGCTGCAGCCCCAGAGCACCTGCTCAAATGAATGCATGGAGGTCAACCCAGGCACTCTCTAAGCATGTTAGGCACCCCCTTTTGCATTTTGACAATGACAATGAAATGGAGGTGTGAAGCTAGAAAAGCCAAGGCAGTAAATAGGGGGCCAACTTGAATGCCCTTATAACCTCCAACTCAAACACATGGATGATATATTTCAGTACTTGTGTGGAAGGGAGGATTGATGAGAGTCAACACAAGATCTAAAAGGGAATACTGTCCTTCACTTTTTGCATATTTTTTCTAGCCCACACTTGGATTTTGGTTTGTCTCTGTCTCTAGGTGTTGCATTTGTATGTGAACAGGAAGTGCTGCTCAGGTGCCCGTATGAGGAAAAACTCAGGATGGTGATCTGATCCAATTGTGTGAGCAGTTTGCCACCTCCAGCGCACAGTCTGAGTGAGATATCCAGTT